ACGCGAACAATCCTACCACTCGTTGTTGAGACTTGATGTCGTTCGGAACGGGCAGTTCTTGCAATACCTTGAAGCGTTCAGGGTCTGGTTTGATGATACCTTCAGTAATTTCATAGCCGAGGAGTCTGAGCTTAGTGGTGGAAATCGTGCTTTTATCGTGATTTAACTGAAGGCCGTACTTTTGTGCTACGGTGAGGAAAAGCTGGAGGTTTCGATCATGTTCTTCTTGATTCTTTCCACAAATGGTAACATTATCCACATACGCATATGTCCCGGTAAGTTGTTCGGCGCGTATTATGTCATCCATTACCCTTTGAAAACAGGCTACCCCATTCGTTACTCCGAAAGGTATTCGAAGGAACTGATAGAGGTGGTTGCAAGCCTCAAAAGCCGTGTAGATTCTGTCGCTTTCTTTGATGGGTATTTGATAATACGCACTTTCAAGATCAAGCGTGCTGAAAATACGGTATTGAGCTATTTTAGTACTTAAATCTTCAAGTCTGGGGAGCGGATAGGCGTCCAGTTGCGTAAATCGGTCTATAGTTTGACTATACTCAACCACCATTCGCTTCTTCTGTCGTTCATTTGTCGTGACGAGCACTTGCGCTCTCCATGAGAACTTCGAGGGTTCAATGATTTGGTCAAGTAGACGCTTCAGAATCCATGAAGGCCTCGTCGTCTGCAGAATGTTGCTTGGACTTTATGGCGATTGGCTTAAATCTTGGATCAATATGCTCGAACAAAGTGGGAGGTTCAATTTTGCAGTAATTAGTCGAACAAAGTGGGAGGTTCAATTTTGGCAGTAATTAGACCACAAAGGGAAAAAGTTTTGTCACCGTTGAATGAGATTTCCAGGGACTTATGGAGCTTAAGAAAGTCATGTCCTAGCAAAATATCTTCACAGAGGTCACGTTATACTGAAGACTTGAAAGAGGAATACTTGTTTTGTTTGTGTTGCAACGTTAAAAAGCAATGTCCAAGAGTAAAGCTTTTGTGCTGGATAGATGCCAAAGTTATCTCAGAAGACGATGGTACTACAGACCATTTGTTACGACGTACTAGCTTTTCGGAAATGAAACTTTCTGAGCTACCACTCTGAGTTGGGCATGGATAAAAGTACTCTATTCGGCAAACGGTGGTTAGGCATACACATGTCCCAACCAACGCAGCTTCTGGTGCTGGACACATTCTTCAATGAAACTTCCCGTTCCACAACCGAAAACTCTCTTTCTAACAGTCTCGTTACGGATACGCCGACACCAACCCACACGAATTATGGTTCTGAGACAACGATTGTCGAACACCTGAACATATCATTGTTCCGTTGTCCGAACGGGCCAAGTCTCACAGCCATACAACGAAACAATTTGCACTGTAGCTTGACACACACGTCACTTGCGATTGAGGGCTAGGTGTCTCAATTTAGCAAATGCGATCCGGGCCTTAGAAATCCGTGCATTGGCCCTATCTGTAACAATAATCAGATATAATAGAAATTCCAAAGTATGCAGAATGCTTAGCAAATTCGAGGGTCTCTCACTGGGTTGTAAATGGTGTATTCAGTGACTGCATGTCCTCACACTTTGTGGGTGCGAAATGCATACAAAAGGACGGGATGACTTTGGTCAGTTCATCCAAAAACACCTGCGCCTTCTCCTCTTCGAAGATGAGAATGATGTCGTCTGCGTACTCCAGATCGACAAGGTTTTCGTCACAGGCTATTTGAACACCGGGGGTTTTGAGACCTTCGAGTGTTCGTCTCATAGTTTCATCGATCACGAAGGTTAAAGAGGAGTGAAGAGAGTGGGCATCCCTGACGGACACCGCCTCGCGGAAGCTTTTGGAGAGCTCTCCGTACACTCTCACACGTCCGGAAGTCTGAGAATACAAAGAACGTATTAGGTTTACAAACTTCCGGTGCATTCCTTGATAGGCAAGCGTGTCAAGCAGAACAGACCGGTCAACGGCGTTAAATGCGCCTTGGAAATTCAGGAATACTAGAATTGTGGGTCGCTTGTACGTACGGCGTTGTTCTAGCAGCTGAAGGAGCGTGAAGATTTAGTCAACACAACCCCTATCAGACCGGAATCCCACTTGCTGCTCTCGAGTTAGTGTCTCACGAGCCACAGTAAGGCGAGGAAGCGTAATTAATACCAACAGTCTCCTTACGACTGGGATCACACCGAATCCTCGGTGGTTACTACACTCACTACGAGGCCCTTTTTTGTAAATGGGCACTATCACCGACTCTCCTCAATTTTCTGGGACTGTCTCATTTTCTCAAATGCAAGCAAACCGATCAGACAAGCGCCCACAGGTTGTTTCCGGGGACTGGTCTCACGGATCAGCTGATCTTTGGGCATTAACGGCTTTCTGGGCCTCTTCCAGTTCTTTGGCATTCTGTGTCCACGATACTTCACGGTCGGCTCGCACGCTCACTTCCACTTGACGTCTGATAATTCTTCGCACCGGGTTATGTTCGGGACCGGCTGGGATATTTCTCCGAGATTTAAGCAGTTCCACCGTTCGGTCTGATATCCAGTGCTTGAGTGCGCCACAGGCGAAATTCCCAGCACTATGCAACCTCGTCCCAGTATGCGTTCACACCTGATGGTGGACCATTTGGAAGAGACTAGAAGACTGTTCTGGTGCATTCGTCTAACATTCCGATCTGCCATTCCCTCAGTTGCCCTGCGACTTGTTCGCACCCTCCGCGGCCCAGGGAAGTGTAGGGAGAAGCGATTCCGGTTTAGCGCGTAGTCGGAATCCACCAATGTGTTCCACAACGTCCGGCAGTCAGTTACTTATCCCTGCCATCTGTAGCTGATGACTGTGATCGATTTGAGTTTGTGGCCGGCATGCCGTTGAAGAACACCTTGTGGCCAGACGACTTCAGCACTGCATAAAAATAACCTGCGATCAGCACACAGCTGAAGCGACCGTTCACCATTGTCCGTACGTATTGAGTCCAACCCATGAGTCTCAGATACGCTAAGCCTGCCTACTTGTGCATTCATATCTCCGTCAACCACCAAGATGTCTGAGTTTCTAGCTCGCCACAACAGGGCATTCAGAACGTCGTAAAGCTTGTCCTTCATGGTGGTTGGGCTACATTCAGTTGGTTTCAGGTGGAAATCCATACCGATACCGCTTTACCGCTCGCAGTTGAATGCTGCTACGGCCTAGGATCCTATTCAACGTGTGGTTCACGGATTGATACATAGGATTGTGACTTTCGCCCAAACATCCAGGGTCATGTTTGTTCTTGTCGTTAAGCCGTTTCTGATGGCCTGAAAGGCACAAACGGAAAAAGGGTGGAGCATGGCTCTTCATGTTTTCAGCGCTGGTTAGTAATCCTTCCGAGCGCGAAGACAACTAAGAGGGCTTCTAAAAGTGCTTTGCACTGGGTTCTAGATCCAGCGTGAACAATCCTTGGGTTATTTCACGCATCAACCATCCGAAATGAAAAAAAATTGTTGCCTCGTGCACTTTAAGCTTGTAAATTTTAGCATGTTTCGGCCGTTTTAGGTCAGCGGTGAAAAACCTGTTGGCCAAATCTTGTTCACACAGGGCGTAGTTATGTATTGGGTCTCCTCGGAGGTGACGATACTTCGTGGGAGAGTGGTCAAGCACCGAAAGAAGTTTTTCATAGTCTACAGATCTAAGGCCGCTAACCATTTTCATAGCAGATTGTCGGGCGCGTTCCATGAGTCACGTCTTTTTTGCGTCTTGAGTGGACAACTTGGCTGACATACTCAATAATCGGTCTGAAGTAAGCCCCATGGATTATCTGGAAGTCCATGCGAATTATACGAGGGAAGATTCGCTGAATCATTCGTAGAACGCCGACTATCTTTTGAGAGGATTTTTCATGGTGCAGTGAGGAGAAAAATCCGTCACGAAGAGATTGGACCGTAGCGTGGTGTGACGGTTTGCGCACCTCATCGACCCATTGGGGGTGGGTCCCCGCGGCACTTAGGGTTCAGTTAGTCAGCGATGAATTCTGACTCCTAACTTACTTATTCACCTTGCTCACTTCTCGGTCAGCACCGAACGCTTGATTTCCAAAAGTAACCTGAGTCTGTTGACAGATACGTTGGTGGTCACTCAAACGGTGGGTGGTCGAAGATTGCAGCCTCTAGGACCGAGCTGTCCTGAACTTCTGCTTCTCGGGAGAATGCTTTTGTTGCTCCGAACGACATCAGCGTGCTGTCACAATCGTGTCTTCATTGAATTAGCACCGAACATCCGATAAGTGCATTAGAGCCTGGTTTCTGGGGGAGTTAGTGCTCAGTTATTGGGGTCATTCTTTGAAACGGTCTATTGCAGGGGCATAGTCTTAGCGATATCCTACTGTTTTACGAGCACAATACACCTGGGAAGATTTATTCGTAATCGACGCGAAACTGTCTGGAGTAAATTTAGCAAAAGATCCAACCATCACACTCATATCAATTTGGCTTTAGAAGAAGACCATCCTCTGCCTCTTTGGTGTTAATATTTTTTCGCTTGGTTTGGTTTTTTGGTTTTGTGCATCAAAGGTATCGCCTCAATGCGTAGCCAATTTCCCAACAAATTGAACATGCCTTCGCCTCCAATGCTTGGCTGTATGTTCTCCGTTCCCTTTTTCGGGTGATTGAAACTGTAGCAGATGGAATCATTGTGCCTATAGCACACGGTTTATAGCTGATAAATTGATCGATTGATGCAGGCCCAGCGTAGAAACCCATACCGTAACCTCATGAGTTTTATTATCCAATACTAGAAATGTTCAATCTGTTCTTTTTAGATATTTACCAGTTTCCGCTCCATTCGTGTTCCTTTGGAAAGATGTCTGACGCTTTTTATCTTCGGTATTATGTCGGGCATCGTGGAAAGTTCGGTCACGAATTTCTAGAGTTTGAGTTCAGACCAGATGGCAAGTTTGCGCAGCTTTTCTTAGCGTTGATGTTTCAGGCAAGTTGCGCTACGCAAACAATTCCAACTACAAGAATGACACTATGATCCGCAAGGAGGTTAGTGATGTGCGTACTTTTGCCTCATCGAGCTCATAGTGTTATGTTAGTCCAGCAGTGATGGAGGAATTGAAGCGGATAATTGTGGAGAGTGAAATCCTTTCCGAAGACGACGCCGCTTGGCCAGATCCCGATCGAGTTGGCAGACAGGAGCTGGAAATTGTATGTGGAGACGAACACATTTCATTCACAACATCAAAAATCGGATCCCTTATTGACATAACTAATAGCAAGTAAGCATTTCAGTCATGGTGTTTAACATTTAGGGACCCTGAGGGATTGCGGACTTTTTACTATTTGGTGCAAGATCTGAAGTGTCTGGTATTCTCGTTAATCGGCTTGCATTTCAAGATCAAACCGATCTGAGCGATATGTGGTGCCTGTTACCAAGCTGACATATTGTAATAAGCCGTTGTTTATTACATGTATCCAAATAAAGTATGGCTTCTTCTGTACATTGTGGGCTAAGTAATACAGAAACTTACACTTGGCGACTGAACAAATCATTCAGCGTTCCTAAGGCTATCTGTGTTATGTCGACCTCGAAGAACTTTCAGGTGGATGAAGAAGATGAACGTACGTGCGTCTGCGTTCAAAAATTCATCTAAAAAAACTCAAACGTGCAAGAGAAACCGAAAAACGGCTGCCAAAAAGCGTGTGTTCACCCATTTGTTCTGCCTCAAATTGACCGGTAATCAACCGGAAGCAAATACTTCCATATGGCCTCCACACGTTTCCAGTTACGAGTGAGCTAAAGGTGTAAAGATTAAAATGTCATCCTCGACACCTCACCATATTTTGTTGTAAACGCCTACTTAGAAGTGGTGTGCGCCATTAGTCCGTCACCAATAATGGGTTTAGACAGTGGCCATCACTGTGTTATCTGGTGTCTCTGTACTGATGCACAACTCTGGAGCCAGACTTATAAGATCGCCATGAATTACCAGTAGCGAGGTTCATTTGACTGTCTGTCATTCTGAATTACACACAGTAGTCTAGATCGGGCTTTAGTGCGGTGCACCCTCGCTAAATTATCCAAACTTAAGGAAAGAGTTGATCTATAGGCGTGGAAAATCCCCATCCCTCACCGTTTTGTTTTATTTTGTCACAATCGTAGAATACGCATTCATTGGGACTGGAAATGTAGGAATCTAAATTAGATCATGGAAAAACCAAGGGGATTTTTTATGAGTACCTTTCCTCTTCAACTTCTTCATCGATACGATAATTGAAGGCTCACTATCAGCCTGTGATACCTGTGGGGTCGAAGTACTGTCGGAGCGCCCGCTCACAGACACCGAGTACGCAGACGGCAGCTCTTATTGGATCTGACAGGGTGGTAACGCAAACAGTATTAAATAATTTAACTAATTCTGTCTCTCGGTTTGGCATGCGCTTCACACCGGTAGAGTGTAAAGCTCTACTTCAAGATTGGGTGGGCTCGAACCCTAGCCTCATGCGTGCGGATGACCCGATTGAGGTAGTAGACAAATTCGTTTACCTGGGCAGCTGTATCAATCCTACTGGTCTTGCGAAAGATGATATTCCCATTCGGATGGGGAGGCCAGAACAGCTTTTGAGAACCTGCATCACCTGTACTGTAGGCGTAACATCAGCTTATCCGTCAACGGGCAAGTTTACAACGCTGCCGTGCGCTCCATATTGCTATACGAGTCAGAAACCTGGCAGCTGCGACCCGAGTACGTCAAAATACTTTCAGTGTTCGACCACTGCTGTCTTCCGAGCATTGCCCAAGTCTGGTGGGAACACCGGGTAAGCAATGCTGAAGTACTTCGAGTGGTGTTCGGAAGAAATAACTCACCCATGAACTGATCACACTGTATAGATTGCGCCGGCTTGGCCACGTGCTGCGTATGCCAGTCGACCGACTTCCTCGAAGAATTCTCTTCGCACAACCAAGTGAACAGTGGAAACGAGCCAGGGAAGTCAAACAATGACTTGCCAGCGAAGTTTGAAGTCCACTACCAGCAAACTCAGCTGCGCTGGTCATTGTCATCTTTTTGGCGGAGACCCCGAGACGGGCCACATCAATGGTTGGAGACATTGCCCAGTCGCGCCCTCAGTAGCGCTCGTGCATTTGACAAATCGCCCTCAATTCCTAGCTCCCTTCCCAATCCCCCTAACAGTCTACTGACAGTCTTGTATTTACGCACCAATTCATCAGCTCCCGCCTTCGGTGCCCAGCTACCTACCCTCCAAATCATTGTTGAATGAAACCGTGACAGGTGCAACCACTGTACAAGTACGTGGTCCTTACAGCTGATAATGATGATGACGATTGTGTTGGTATTCGATGGTTACCATAAATAAAATGTCCGAAGTGATAATTTATTTTGACGTGCGTTTTGTTTCTCAAACGTGCAAAGTCGTGCTCCGGGTTTTTCGGTCTCCTGTCCCTTTGAAAATTTAGGACGAAGAGCCTGAGAACGTTCATTTGTTCACACATCTGGGTGACCCTATAATCGGTGATCTTATTGTGACAGTTGAAGGTAATAAGTATCATAGTGAAGTCTGCACGATATTTGCCAAACCGCTTCTTTTTGGCTTCAAAGACGAATTGTGCCTAGACTGAGGGACCGTGCGTGCAAATCAGCTAACTTACTTTATAGTTGTGAAATTCGGTCACTACGGTCCGGAGGCCTTAGACGCCTTCAAAGCTTGGATCATCGGTGGCGGGAGTCAGCTTGCTGCAGCTGAAGTGTTGTTATTAGGCGAGTCTTGGTAACGTAGTATTCGTAGAGCAGCAAACAAAAGTTACGACCTAATGTAATTGTGACATGTCCAACCGTCGTCTACCAAAGAAGCACTGTTTTTCATTTCGAACTCATGCTGGCAAAAGATTCAAAGAATGCAGGCTATGGTATGGCTATGTGAATTGAGTGCGCTGCTAGTCAATCTGGGTGTCGTAGTATCTTTGCGCCTTCCGGTTTGGGGTTCACGCAACTCTTGCGCGTTGCCAAAAACACTGCAGCCCATGACACTCAGATGACCGCAGTAGTTTTATTAGTATCACTTTCCAGTCGAGAATTTGAGGCCCGCTACACACTGCTTATTTTCTCTGACGCCCTAACCGTGGCTTGGAATCTGCTAATGACGTTGTAGATCCTTTTTTATAGCGGGCTGAAAGCTCACACCCTGTTACGGTTGCTCGTAACATGAACCCTCAAGTCATCATCGTCATGGATATCACGACAACAGTATTCAGCACTGATGCTTCGCTGCCGTACAGTTATGATTTGTTTGGAAGCCTTATTGTGAAAAAAAAGGATAAAGGTGGGTGGAGAAGAGGCCTAGTGCTAGCTTACAACAATCATTCCGAGGCGCATATATCTCATTCAGGCCGTGTCCCATTCAATCGAAGTTACCATCGCACAGACGAAAATTCGCTTTCTAATAGCCTCGTTACGGATTCGCCGACACCAACCCACACGTAATATGATTCTCAGGCAACGATTGTCAGTTCCGCTGCTCGGACAGGCCAAGTCTCACAGCCATACAACAAAACAGCTCGCACTGTAGTTTGACGCACACGGCCCTTGCGATTGAGGGATACACCATTTTGATGCCATAGATGTCCCAAATTAGCAAACACGACCCGGGCCTTAGACATCCGTGAATTGACCCTATCTGTAACACTATAATCAGATATAATAGAAATTCCAAAGTACACAGAATGTTAAGCAAATTCGACGGTCTCTCCCTGGGTTGTAAGTGGTGTATTCAGTGGCTGCATGTCCTCGAGCATGACCTCACACTTTGTGGGTGCGAAGTGCATACAAAAGGAGGGATGACTTTTGGTCAGTTCATCCAAAAACACCTGCGCCTTCTCCTC